GAGCTCCTACAACCTGAAATACCAAAATGGGGTTCTGGGGGAGAGGAAAGAATAGAGACCTGTCCTCCCCACCTCTACCCCTGAGGGAAGGAGACCCTACAGGCTCATATTCCTCCCACTGGGGATACACAGTGGTTAATCACTTGTGCTTCTGACCATCAGTTAGAGCCATGCTGGACCACATATTTTACCAGCCCAAGCTGCTCCTCAATTAGGTTTATCTTATGCAGGATTAGCACTGTAGGCACATGCTCTTCAAGTCTCCTTTCAAATGGTTCCAAAAGACTGAGGGAAGACAGGAGATAGTTCATCTGTAAATAGGCAGACAGCTAGAGGGAGGCACCCTGGATCAGGTCAGTCTAAACCCCAATTACCCTCTTAGTTAGGGTTTCTATTGCTGTGAAGAGACACCATGACCATGAGGCAATTCTTATAAAGGAAAGCATTTAATTGGGGCTTGTTTATAGTTCAGAGGTTTAGTCCATTGTCGTCATGACCGGAAAGCATGGCAGCATGTAGAGAAACATGGTGCTGGAAAAAAAGTTTGAGAGTTCTACATCCAGATAGATCCATAGGCAGCTGGAAAAGAGAGATTCTGGCCCTGGCTCGAACATTTGAAACCTCAAAGTCTACTCCCAGTAGCACACTTCCTCCATCAAGACCATACCTATTCCAACAAGGCCATACCTCCTAATAGTGCTATTCCTTGTTGACCAAGCATTCAAATCTATGAGGCCATTCTTATTCAAAATACCACACTGCTGCAACTCCAACCGTACCCCCTCTTTTGGAGACAGGGTTTCATTATGTAATCAATAAAGATTGCCTGAAGAATCAAAGCCAGCCACACTAGTTAGCTATAAAAGCTGGGCAGTGGTGGCAGACACCTTTAAATCCAGGACTCAGGAGACAGAAGCAGATGGATCTCTGTGAGTTCAAGGCTACCCAGGGTGACATTAGAGTGAATCAGTCTAAAATAGAAACAGAGCTTATGCCTTTAAGCCCAGCACTAGAGTATATAAGGATCTCTATGTAGTCTCAGAGGGCAGTCTAGGATTCTGAGATTAGTGCAGTCTGGAAATGCAACCTAAGGTTTGGTGGATCGTCCCTTTGGTCTGAGCATTGATAGAAGTAAGTGGCTGCTTTGCTTTTCTGATCTTCAGCTTGAACCCCAATATCTGTTACTGGGTTTTTATTGTTTGTGCTACTACACCAATCTCCAATTACCTTTTGAACTGAGATGGCTTATTTCCATGTTCTTGGCCATGCTGGAGAGACTTTTTTCTAGTCTCTCTCTAGTCTTTTCTCTAGTAAGATGGATGGGCTAACTACCCCTCACTCTAACTAAACTCAGGATACTGGCCAATACAAGCACAAACTTCAAAGGTTCCCCCCACCTTATCTCACCCAGTCAGGCTCCTTCATTCATTCCAAATGACCCAACTCACAAAATGCATCCTGCCAGTTATAATTCAAGAAGGACCCAGCCCTGTCCCACATCCTACTAAAAACATAAAAATCTATCCCAGCTAGTATAGCTGTGGGCAACATAGGAGCTGAGAAAGGAGGGTAGTGGTAGATAGGGGCACAGGACTGTGCATTAGCTTCAGGAATGAAAACTTATGTTTTCCACTGCTGTTTATGCATCATTTAGCTAGCTCCTAAAGATAGCATTGCAAGAACTTGAGCAAGCAGTCTCTTTGACCCCTTTATCAGAATGCCTCTCCATGACCCTCTCCTTGAGGTCTTATTTAGCTTTACAAGACATTCCTTCTAGGCCTTAGCTTGTATCCACGGTTGTCTACAGTTGCATATAGGTCAGAGTTTGATCTGAGAAAGGAACTGTGGACCATCTGGATGCTCCCAGGGGCAAATGCTGCTCCACACACACATACACACACACACTGTGTTATTCACTGAGCTATGACTTTGCATACTGTGCTTTCTGTGTGTGCTATTTTTGCTGCAATAAACTTTGTATGGGGTGTACTTCAAACTTCTCATTTATAACTATTTAGTTGGAGAAACTGAAACAAGAAAAACTAGCAGGCAACGAGACTATTTGCCTTCTTTTGAAGATCTGAACAAGAGTCTTTGTTTTGCATATTTCCTGAAGATTCTCATTCTTCTCTCCTTTAGTCAAATCTTTTAAGATTTTGCAAGAGAGAAGCCAACAGTAGGAGTGCCTACTCCTAACAGAGATTCACCAACTTTTTCCACTAGTGATTTTGTTTACCTGAGAAATTTATACTCAACCCCAGGTGTATAGGTAATATGAAGTGAGTATACAAATTAAACATTTCATGATAATAATTCATAAAATACTTAATTCTTAGGAATATATATATATATATATATATAACTTTTATTAAGTTAACTTTTATTATTCCCATTTATTAAGATGGGAAAAACGGCTTCCTAATGAGGCAGACATGCTTATGTCTACATAAAACATTAAATTTTAGCTGGATAGTGGTGGCTCCCACCTTTAATTCCAGCATAACAGGAGTGGCAGAGGTAGGCAGATATCCAAGTTCAAGGCCAGCCTGGTCACTCTGTAGAGTGAGTTCCAAGACAGCTTTGTCAACACAGAGAAACCCTATTTCAAAAAAGAGGGGGAAAAAAAACACAAACCAACACAAAAATATTAAATTTTGGCTGAATATTTGATACTCTAGGGTGCAGAACATCTTCAACATTTTTTCCAAATCTGATTGGTATTTTGATCTTATAATTATCAGTACTGAGAGTGTGGCTTTAAATATGTAGTAGAGAATGGAAGAAATATGCTTTGCAACATTTTAGAAATAGCTTTTGGCACCAAGACCCTTGAAATTCTTTATTATGGAAATAAAGTTATTCCATTTTTTTCTTTGCTGTCTCCCCACTCCATTCTTAGAGGAGGAATGGACAAGAACTTGGCCAGAGACAGGAAACTGACTTCACCTACCAACTTTTTCAGTAATATCCAATAGTCTCATATCTTAGCCAAGCTGTTTCAGGTGTTTGTTCCCACTTAGTAGCATGACAGCATGTACAGTTAGAAGTATACATTCCGTGTGTTCAAAGCCAAGACTACAATGAAGTTGTCTAGTGGTCAGAAACATCTTGAATTCACTATGTCTGGATTTTAAAAATTAATTTCTGATTACTTGTTCAGAAACCTTTACTATTCCTGAATCTTTTGCCAAGCCCCACATTCTGTCAATTGTCATAGGGTCATGACTCACAGGGTAAGAAACTGACCTCTAATAAACCACAATTAAAGGACAAACTATGCCAATCCAGATCTTATTTGATTTACAGTTATGTAAAAAGCAGAATCCCAGCACTTGGGAGACAGAGGTAAGGGGATTTCTGTGAGTTCAAGGCCAGCCCGGTCTACAAAGAGTTCCAGGACATCCAGGGCTATTACACAGAGAAATCCTGTCTAAAAAAGAATGAAAGAAAGAAGGAAAGGAGGGAAAAGGGAGGGAGGAAGGAATATAGATTGGAATGATATGGTCTGTCTGATACACTCCAAACAGACACCAGAATCAAGGCTACTTTCACCTAGAACCTCTGCCCAGAAGGCAGAGCTTATAACTCTTTCCCATGCTTTAAAAGTAGCCAAAATAAAATCCCCACTTAAGATCTCCAGGCACGTCCAACTTTTCTTAACATTGCAACATGACACAATGTTATTGTCTACAAAGTTCATTCTCTACAAAGTTCATGGTCCAAGTAATGTTAGACGGCCCACCCACACATCAGCCTGCATCTTCAGGCCAGCTTCCACAGCCTCAACCAGGGAATTCCTCTCTGCAACTCAGAACTGACAACCCATGATTTACGGTTCTAACCAGTACCAGGCTCCATATTCTTTGTCCTGTATATTACCTATGTTGAACTAGATAAGGTGATATGAAACTTCCTGACAATCCTAAAAGTTATTAAAAAAAAAAAATCCGGCCAAGTTCCTCTTTTATTTGGGAGATTGGTCTAGTAACCCCTTGGCGGTTTCCAGAAATTGCAGATTGCACTGAAGGCTGCTCTCTGATCAGCTCCTCTACTAGCATTGCTTTTCTCACTTTGTAGCCTAGGCTGGCCTGGAACTTTGTATGTAGATTAGGCTGCCCTTGAACTCACAGGCAGAAACCGCCGAGTTTCTGCCTCCTGAATGCTGGGAGTAAAGGCTTGCACCAGTACGCCTGGCCCTCTTAACCCATATTCTTAATGAAGCTCCTCCTTAGACTTTAAAGGGAATTTTTTCCTTAACTTTAAGGTCTCCCTCTTAGAGCTCCGTATATTTTATTATTTCTCTCTCCCCCAGCCCAAAGACCAGTCATGGTTTTGAGGCCCTTTCATTTTTAATAAACCTCATCCTTCAAAAGAATTGTGAATTATCTGGCTTCCTTTTTGGACTGACAACTAATGCGCCCTCCCCCCCCCGCTTCCCGATATTTAACATAAGTCACATACACACACAAATCATGAAAAAAAAATCCACTTTATAAAATTTAAGTTTATTGTATTAAGTCACATTCATAGTACTGGAGTCCCTGCAGCGCTGGATACGCCGGACTGATTCCAAGCATTACATATACACGCTGCCTAGTGGAAAAGGGAATTGCTGGAACCTAAAATTCCATTCTTCTATTCACTCACCAAGTGCCACTGGGTGCTCGATCACTCTACGCCCTAGTCAGGTGTCCCATAATGCAGGTGCCATAAGGAAGCCGCGCTCTAGCACCATTGCCCATTCATTGGCCAGAGCCTGGTAAACGTTGCTGAGCTAATGTCCAACCGTCCACGGAGCTCCGGATTGGCCGACGTCACTTCCTCGGTTGGGGACAGTCCACACAGGAGCCTGTCTTTACAGAGACCCTTGTAGGGCGTGACCAGAGCGCACCCCGCCTCTCCCCCCCCCCCGGGGAAAGCAGCAGTCGATCTTTTGCCCTGAACACCGCACCCTTGAGACTCTCCACTTGGAAACAGTCCCACGACTGGGACCACGAAGAAAACCGAAGACACTCGCCAAGAGCCGAGTACGCCCCAAGACGCTCCGGACCGACCGGAAGCGGAACCGAGCCGAGCCGGAAGGAGCTGAGCCCACCTGAAGGTTGCTGAGCACCGGCAGGCGTTGAGCCCAACGGAGTCCACGTCATGGCGGCGGACGGTACAGGTGTAGCCGGAGGAAGGGCTGTCGGCGGCTTCCTGACCAAGGACAGTTTGCAGGATGCTAAGTGCCCGGCAGCAGTCTCCAACCGGCGGCGCGCTTCCTCGCTGTCTCGTGACGCGGAGCGCCGAGCCTATCAGTGGTGCCGGGAGTATCTGGGCGGGGCCTGGCGCCGAGCCCGGCCGGAGGACCTGAGCATTTGCCCCGTGAGGTCAGGGGTCAACCTCAGGGTCCTCAAGACAGTCCCTATTTCGATGAAGTCAGTGCTACGCAGGAGAGGGAAAGAGGGAGGGACCTGGGCCAAGTCTGCAGACTCCTGTGCTGGGAGGGGGTCGGGCTCTCCCTGGGGGCTTGGTGAGATCCTCTTGGGAGTAGGGGCTAGGGTGGGTCTCACCAATCCGGGAGACTTTTTGCTGAACCTGACCGATGTGGATCTGCAGTGGAGGCCTTAGCAACCTGCTCTTCCGATGCTCGCTACCGAACCACCTGCCCAGTGTGGGCGAGGAGCCCCGCGAGGTGCTGCTACGACTGTATGGGGCCATCCTGCAGGTGAGGGGGAGCGAGGGCCATAGCTTGAAGTGAGCAAGTGATGCAGAAACTGTTGTGGTACTTGTGCACCCGAGTGTGCTGCTCCAGAGCTTTTGCTCCAGAATCCCCAGGCAGTAAGACCAGGGGTCCCAGCTACGATGGGTGAAGAAAACATTACTTTGCACCCGTGCCCACTCACCTCTGACTTGGCCCCTTTGCCATCTTCCTTCAGGGCGTAGATTCCTTGGTACTAGAGAGTGTGATGTTCGCCATTCTTGCAGAAAGGTCACTAGGGCCCCAACTCTATGGAGTGTTTCCAGAGGGCCGCCTGGAACAGTACCTCCCAGTAAGAGCCCAGTTTTTGTTGTTTTTGCTAAGCCCTTGCCCTTTCCCATTGTGTGCCTTCACATTCCCAGGTAGGGAAATTTCCCTAAGACCTTGATCTCCTTCCATCCCGTATCCCTTCCCCGCTCCTGGCCCAGCCCCTTCACCACCCTGATAGGTTACTGGGTACAGAGCCGGCCATTGAAAACTCAAGAGCTGCAGGACCCAGTGTTGTCAGGAGCCATTGCAACAAAGATGGCCCGTTTCCACGGTATGGAGATGCCTTTCACTAAGGAGCCCCACTGGTTGTTTGGGACCATGGAGCGGTGAGTCAAATTTGGGAACGCTACACCTAAACTGAACCAACATCTAGTTGAGTGGATAGGTTTCCCAGTATCTATCATAGACTCATGTTTACCAGCCAAGTCACAGTGACAGGAAAATTTGACCTAACAGTACATAGGAGAAGCAGATGAGGAAAGGCAAGAAAGTGAATGTATCCTATTTGTTGGGGGCTTACAGGTACCTACAGCAGATCCAGGACTTGCCTTCCACTGGCCTCCCTCAGATGAACCTGCTGGAGATGTACAGCCTGAAGGATGAGATGGGCAATCTCAGGTGAAGGCAGACTTGGCATTTAGCAGTGTCCTCCCCAGGATGTGCTGAGGACTAGAGTCAGGGTCAGCCTTTGAAGGTGGCTGTATCACATGGCCTTATAACCTGTGCCCCTCTTCCTCTATAGGAAGTTGCTAGATGCTACTCCATCACCAGTAGTCTTCTGCCACAATGACATTCAGGAAGGTATGAGAAAGTACATGAGTCTTCGAGCCCAAGCAGAAGAAGGTAGAGTGCCCTGAAGTGACCCGAATCCCCATTCCCCCAGGGAACATCTTATTGCTCTCAGAGCCAAAAAGTGACGACAGCCTCATGTTGGTTGACTTTGAGTACAGTAGTTACAACTACAGGTAAGGGTGGGAGGAAAACCTGTGGGACCTGCCCCTACAGGGCTCAGTGAAACAGACTGCCAGGCCTTCATCGCTACATGCCAGCTGCCCTGGACTGAATGTTTGCATTGTTCCCCCAGGGGCTTTGACATTGGGAATCATTTCTGTGAGTGGGTTTATGATTACACCCATGAGGAATGGCCTTTCTACAAAGCAAGACCCACAGACTATCCCTCTAGAAGACAGCAGGTGTGTAGGCTGGAGGCTGGGAAAGGAAAAGCTCTAATTTATTTATTTATTTTGTAAAAGGAAAGAATGGCTAGAAGGGGTAATATTCCAAAGTGTCCCTGGTTCCTGACTCTTATCCATTGATCTCAGCTCCATTTTATCCGCCATTATCTGGCAGAGGTTCAGAAAGGTCGGGTCCTCTGTGAAGAGGAGCAGACGAAACTGGAAGAAGAGTTGCTGGTAGAGATCAGTCGGTGAGAAAGGAGGGACGGGTGGGAGTGAGGGAGGACATAGAAGAAAAAGGAGGATTGCAGGTAAAGTGCCAGCATAGACATGAAAGGTGCAATACTGAATGTACTCTTGATGGCACCGCCTTTTCTGCCCCCTGTTCCCTAGGTATGCTCTGGCATCTCATTTTTTCTGGGGTCTGTGGTCCATCCTCCAGGCATCCATGTCCACCATAGAGTTTGGCTACTTGGTACGTAGCCTGTCGAGTGGGCACGTTGGGTAGGGGCTTAGAGAGTAGCACTGGCCATGCCCTCCAGGAAGTCCTGGCAGTCCTTGGTGGCTGTAGGCAGAACACAGCAGGTATGGCTACTGCTTCCAAGCTTCTCACCACTTTGTATCATGGGTTTCCTTCCTTAGGAGTATGCCCAGTCTCGGTTCCAGTTCTACTTCCAGCAGAAGGGGCAGCTGACCAGTTTCTACCCATCATCTTGACAATCCAACCTCACCTCACATTTCTCCTGGAGCCTCCAGGGCAGGACCTTGGAGGGAGGGCCAAAGAGCAAGAAACCCCAGAGACTGGGCTGTGCCTCTTAAGTGAGACTGTTGTTGCAAAGCTGACCTCTGTCCCCCTGTTTTGAGTAGTTGCCCAAGGTGGGCATCTGGGAACCCCTGGAGCTGCATACCTAAATAAATGAGTTTCTTAAGAAATACAAACTGAGGGATACAGATTTAAGTGATTTCTGTGCACTGTGTTTAAAAGTGGTGAGGGGTCCATCTGTTCCACTCATTGATATCACCTATTCCATGATGATCCCTGGCTGCAGTTTAGAAGTAACAAATACTAACTTGGAGAAGAGGACTGGAGAGGGGTGGGGCAACAGCGGGCCCTAGATGTGATTGTCAACCTTGAGCCCTGGAATTAGGGAGCAGGCTGCACAGCTGACTCCTGGTGACCTTTTCCCTACATTCAGCTATTTTTAGCACTGATGCAACCATGCTCACGTGAGACCCTCCACTCTCCAGTCCCAGACCTTCCAGCAACCTTCAGCAGGCTCGTGGGAACCCTGCCCACCCCTCCTTGGTGCCCCACCAAAAGGAGGGGGTTCTGGTTTCCACCCATATCTGTTTTCTCCACCCCAATTTGGGAGTGAGTGTCAAGTTCCCAGTGAGGGCAGGGCGGGGCCAGACAGGGGCGGCCAGGCCTGAAGGACGTGGGGACGTGGGCCAGAGTGGCCAGACCCATACACGGACAGAAGCAAACCTGAGCTGTGAGTTGGGGACCAGCACACGAAGGCCAGCCGGACCCAGGGCTATTCCATTCCACAACTCTTCATTCACCCTTACTGTCATCCGAGCTTTTCGAGCAAGGACTGCTGGGGGCACCCTAACCTAGGCGTCTTTCCTGGACCCCAAGCTGCCCTTCGCTGCCCTTGGGGCACCTGGAGCCCGACTCCTGCACCATTGCATATAGGCCTGTCCGGAACCCCACGAGGGTTCTGCGGCAGCAGCGGCGGTTAGCCAGGCTTGGGAGGGCCCAGCGGGGGGCATAGCGTTGGGGCACGGGCTGGTTTGGAGGGTGGTCGCGTAGGGGACTGGGCAGGGGGTGGAGGAAGCGAGGACCAGATGGGGCGGTGGGGGGCGGAGCTTCAGCTAGAGGTGGACTGGCAGGGGGCGGGGCTGGGTACACTAAGCACCTTCTGCCCCTGCCCTTAGGTGCTGTCTAAACCCCAGGATGGCGGAAGCACACCAGGCAGTAGCTTTCCAGTTCACTGTGACCCCGGATGGGGTCGACTTCCAGCTTAGTAGGGAGGCTGTGAGACACATCTATCTGTCTGGAATCAACTCCTGGAAGAAACGCCTTATTCGAATTAAGGTGTGGGAACAGGTGGTTCTCCCGGACTCTTTTCCCCATCAGGTGCCTAGGCAGAGGCAAGCTGTCAGCAGTTAGTCTCCATTTCCGAGTCTGTCTCCGTCTTCGGCCAGCAGTACAGCTGGTTATAGACAGGGACCAATAGTGCAAAAACAGAAGGATGATGAGACATATAATGGAGATGTATTTGGAGGAAAAACAGTGAATGGACGAGGCAAAGACCAAGAGCCTTATCTCAGGACTTCCCACTCCACAATCATGCCTGTTTCTTATCCCCCCCCCCACAGAATGGCATCCTTAGGGGTGTATACCCTGGCAGCCCCACCAGCTGGCTGGTTGTTGTCATGGCAACAGTTGGTTCCAACTACTGCAAGGTGGACATCTCCATGGGGTTGGTTCACTGCATCCAGAGATACCTCCCTAACAGGTAAGGCACCTGGAAGACACAGGTTTCAGGAAGAAGGGCCAAGGCCAGGATTCCTGTACTGGACAAATACAGAAATGCACCCCAAGGGGCCCTCTCACAGGGCTACCATCTCTCAGTTCCAAGGCAGTTTGTCTGTTTGATGCACTCACATCTGGGTGCACCCAGCAAGGTCTTTTTTCATTCAAGTCTTCCCCAAGAGAGTCAACAGTCATTAACTATGTTAGAATTTCCCCAAAGGATGGTCTCAAAGGGGTAGCCTGAAGCCTTCCCCCTTCTCCAATAGGTGTGGCCCCTATGGGACTCCACAGACCCAGGAACTTCTCAGCATGGTCATCTTCTCCACCGGGATCTGGGCAACAGGCATCTTCTTATTCCGACAAGCCCTGAAACTGCTGCTCTCCTACCATGGCTGGATGTTCGAGATGCACAGCAAGACCAGCCATGCCACCAAGATCTGGGCTGTGAGCAGAAGCACTGGAGGGTGCAGGCATCTGGTTTGAGATCATAGGGAATCTCTTTTGGGGATCTAAGCAAGAAGGGAGAGGCAAAGTGGACACTAGTGCCTGGTGTGTGTGTTTGTCCTGAAGGGGCTGGGATGGTTCTACAGGACTTGGTCATTTTCTAGTTTGGGTCCATTCTCCCTGCTAGCTCCTACCCCAACACTATTCTCTATACCTTTAGATCTGCGTTCGCCTTCTGTCCAGCCGGCGGCCCATGCTCTATAGCTTCCAAACATCTCTGCCAAAGCTTCCTGTACCCAGTGTGCCAGCCACGATTCAGCGGGTAAGAGCCTGAGTACCAGTGAGCACAAAGTCCTGGACTCAGAGGACCAGTCCAAACTTATAAGGACTGTTTTCTATAAATAGCTGGCTTGAGAAGAATGGGGTCTGGTTGAGGAGAGGTTGTGAGAAGGTTAAGATGGAGGTGTAGCCATCTTCATGATAACAATTTGGCCGGACAGTACCTGGATTCTGTGCGGCCCTTATTGGATGATGAAGAATATTACCGCATGGAGACACTGGCCAAAGAATTCCAGGACAACACTGCCCCCAGACTGCAGAAATACCTGGTACTCAAGTCATGGTGGGCAACTAACTATGTAAGTTTGCCCTGCCAGGCTTGTTCTTATCCACATGTTCTTGATACACCTGCCCCAGCTCTAACCTGAAACCTAACTACCCACAGGTGAGTGACTGGTGGGAAGAGTACGTCTACCTCCGAGGCAGGACCCCCCTCATGGTGAACAGCAACTATTATGCCATGGTAAGAACCAGAGCCTCCTAGGGCTCCTGTGTGCCCAGCTCTGTCCCCAGCTCAGGAACAAGGATCTAGAGGACATCCCAGAGCCTTTGCATCAGTTTTCATGGGTGAGTGGGGTCTGAGGGAAAGAAAACGGGAGGAAAGATCCTGGAGGAGCAGTCCAGAACCAGCCTATGGGTGGTGGGCACCCTGACAAGAGGGGGAATTCTGAGACTGCCCATGAATTCCTCAGGCCAGTTATGCTGTACTCTATTGCTTCCTAACTCCCTGTCCCGCTGCACTCTATTGCTTCCTAATTCCCTGTCCCGATTGGCTTCCTGGCCTCTCAGGCACAGGTTTTCTGCTATCTTGACACCTTTTCAGAGTCCCTTTGTGGCTTCAGGATCACACGATGAATAGCAGCTCCTTGCAGTACTCAGGAGGAAGCCACTGTCTGCTCCGTTCCCTTGACCAGTGTCCACACTATATACCTGTGGACAGGGAGCTGACCTTCCTGTTGCCTAGGGCCCAATTTCTTTTGACATCCAAAACATATTAGCTGCCTGGAATTCCCCTCATCCACGAACTGTCTTTTTAACAATTTACAGCCTGTCCAAATCAAAGATTTGTTCTTGTTGTTTTGTGGTAGAACCTCTTTGAAGCAAAATAAGCAATGTATGAATGGGCAGAGAACAGTTCTGGTTGAAGCTGGAGCCTGCCAGTTATACATTTCTGGAAGTTTACCCTGACATGATATAAGGTGGAACATAGGCAAGGGATGCAATACCTCAGGTCCCTGTAAACGTTTCCTCAGGCTAGTGAGACTCAGGTGACACCCAGACAGGGGTGCCCAGCCTACAGACTCTGCTCTGTCTGTAGGATTTTGTGCTTATCAGGAACACAAATGTGCAAGCAGCACGTGTGGGAAATGCTGTTCACGCCATGATCATGTATCGCCGCAAACTGGACCGTGAAGAGATCAAACCTGTGAGTTACATCAGGGTTAAGGGTAGGGTAAGGAAAAGAGGCCAAAATCTAAGCCATGCTGGACCTTCCTCCCAGGTGATGGCACTGGGTATGGTGCCCATGTGCTCCTACCAGATGGAGAGGATGTTCAACACTACACGCATCCCAGGCAAGGAAACAGGTATGGGATTACAGCCAAGCATCCATCAAGAGGAAGTCCTACCTTCCCAGACAGCCATCAAGAGGAAGTCCTAGCCATGACAGCTGGGTGCCCAACTACTATTTTTCTCTAAGTATTCCAGTGTCTCAGGATCATGAATCTGAAAAGTAGTCAGCTTGTGACAGATTCTGGATGGTTGTTACGTACAGACATGATGCTGATGCTGAGACCGCATGGGTCCAGAACAGTGGCTGTCTTTCCAGAACTTCTGAGTACTTAGGAAGGTAGCCATGAGTAAAGAGCAAGAGCATGGCTAGGGTGGTGGAAGTCAGAAGAAGACAGCCTGTCCCTTGTGGAGCCTGAAGAGGAGGCAGGAAGAACTCACACAGGACACAGGGAGTAGTTTAACATGGGAATCTACACCTAGATGAAGGCCCAAGTCAGATATGAGGCAAAGCAGAGTCTGTAGGGACCACCACCAGTGTGGGGGAGGTGGGTCCTTTCTGGGCATTCCATAAGGTCCTGCCTCAGCTGCTCACTGGCTTCTGTCACAGATGTGCTACAGCACCTCTCAGAGAGCAGGCACGTGGCTGTCTACCACAAAGGTCGCTTCTTCAAGGTGTGGCTCTATGAGGGCTCTCGCCTGCTCAAGCCTCGAGACCTAGAGCTGCAGTTCCAGAGAATCCTGGATGACCCTTCCCCGCCTCAGCCTGGGGAGGAGAAGCTGGCAGCCCTCACTGCTGGAGGAAGGTACCCAGGGCCTGTGGGGAGGGCATGTCCAGGGCCAGGTTCCAGGCTTCATGAAAAGAAAGGCACTGGCCCTAAAAACAGACATCTTTCAGGGTACCCAGGTGGCCCCACTCCATCTTGTCTCCAGATTCAGCCAGATCCTAAGACACCCTGATAAAAAGTATGTGTTGGCTCTACTGCTTACCTGCCCTTGTACCCCCAGGGTAGAGTGGGCACAGGCACGTCAGACCTTCTTTAGCTCTGGCAAGAACAGAACTGCTCTGGATACCATTGAGCGTGCTGCTTTCTTTGTGGCCCTGGAT